AAAACCACCAGCCACATCATTGCCGCCTAAACCAGACTATCACCGTGTCAAACACTACAAACGCCACCACATCACCGTCAGGCACATAGAAGCCACCACATCACCGTGTCAAAACACCACAAGCGCCACCACGTCACCATCGTCGACCGCTACCACTACCATAAACACCTCACCAGTCACTAGCACCTCCAACCAAAAAATAAGAAAACTGCAGATCGAACAGAGAGAGATAAATGCAGATCAAACGCCTCCCCTACGCCGAAAAGAGAAAAGAATCATTCGGAAAGAGAAAAGAACAATTCGGAAACCATTGCCTTCAGATCGGAAAGAGAAGAACAATTTCATGTCGCAACGTTGTGTTCCCAGCATGTCGCCTCCCATGCCGGCACCGGCACCACCCCATGCCATCGCCCTTCCTTCGTCACTGGTTGCAGTGTTTAATCCCCACGCCGACGTCGAGCACAGAGAGAAAGGGGATGGGAAAGTGTCTTGTAATGGGAGGGGTGAAATTTCAAATAGGGTTTGAATTGTGAATTAGGGGATTTAAATCTATTAATACCTGATTTGTGAACAATCAAACATTGTACCTGATATTTGAACTGTGATCTTTAAAGATCTGAATTTCTGTAATTTTCACTAATTATATTCCCATCACATCTATTTCATAAATTTATTATCATATCTATCTTACTAACTTTTTTCACCACATTCTTATTTTTAACCTTTTAACAACGAATAAATCTTGTCCCTATCACATTTTCCGTCTAAAATTATTGTTAACACGCTTCAAATCAAAGGACCATTTTTAGTTTAAATTTTGTATGTTCTTTTTATTTAAAAACACAAAGGACAAATAATTTTTTACTCAATGAAATTTTTAGACCCAAACCGTATCACGAACAACTTATATTAATTATAGAGTGAGATTTTGATTAAAAAAATTAAGAATATAAATATGATAATGAGTAAAAATTACATAAAACCAAAATGTGGTGCGTGTTGTGAATGAATTTAGCTGCAAGCAATCTCATTGACCATTTACAATATTGTCCAAGTCACATTACGAAACATATCATATGAGATACGATCAAATAGCAAGTACTCGTTTGGCCCCATTAAATTAAATTTTATTTTTCTCTCTTATTTTCAACCACACAATCTTCCACAAAATAATATTACACGTAAACCAAAAACTTCTCATTCTTTTTAAACACCATGTTCTCCCAAAAAATACTATTCCACCCATTAAAATCTGAAATCATGGGGAACAAACGGGTAAATGATCAAATTTTATATTCTTCATCAATAGTATGCAGTACTAATCCAAACATGCATTGTATCGAATGAGATCAAATGGTACAATGAACAAAAAGATTTAGCTTATTTTTATATCATTACACTCGATCTATGTTACCAAACATATCATAAAGTCGGAGGTATTTTGACCATTAAGAGGGAATATCAGCTTGTAAGCCATGGTATTCACTTGGATTACTATCTAAGAACACGTTTTTTCACTATTTTTTCAAATGAAGAACGAGTCTGTAAAAGCCCGAGCATCAAAAATTTGTATTCCTCACAGAGAAAAGAGTCCTCATTTTGATGAACTTCATCAAACAATGAGACAACAAAAACACAGCTATACATGTCTAGTAACAAGTTCCTAATTTGGTAACTGAACATTTGCAGAACTTCTTTACCTGCATTGAAGGTGAGTTGGTTCTTCCTACTCTACGTCTCGCTTTGAGCAGCCACTTACAATTTAGAATCTCGAGTTACTGTTGCGGCCATCCATACTGCTGGTTCCGGTTACTGCCCACAGGATTCGGGCCACGGCCACCAGCTCCATATTGACCACTCGGGGGATAATTTGGAGCTCCATATCCACCAGCAGCTCCTCGTGGACCATTTGAAGCACCTGGATATGGTGCTCCTCGACCCTGAGGTGGATACTGTCCACTATTATAACCCCCAGTTTGTCCCCCACGATCTTGATAATACCCACCCGGGTTCCCACTTGGAGGGTATCTATTAGGCCCTCCAGGTGGACCATGAGGCTTTCCATACTGATGATGACTAAGACCCGTAGGCAGTGAAGGTTGCAAGTTGTTCATTGGATGATTAGGTCCCGTCCAATGTTGAGGATGAGGTTGCACAGATTGTTGGATAGGAGGCAAGCGAGAATGCTGCTGTGGATGCTGCAACTTCTGTCTTTTCGCTATTTCTTCATTTTGCCGCTGTTGCTGTCTTTTCTTCTTTGTTTGAAACTCGTGTGAGGATTCATACTTGGGCAAACTGTGTACTTGAGGAACAGTTGGTCACATAACTGAAGGAAAAATATCTAGCAAATTTTTTGCTCAAATACAACAATAGCTGTATTTCTGGAGAAGCTTAGGGAGTTTTCACTAAAAACAATATGCATGTGAAGACAAAAGAAATTACCAAACTCCAAAGGCCAACCAAACGGACGATTAATACGGAAATGCTATCCACGTTAGACTATCGGATTTAAAGAAATAATTTGGGATATTATTACCACAGGTACCTTTTCGGATCGCAAGGCAAGGGATCAGCCCAGAAATATTCAGCATCTAAAGCATCCTTCGCAGATATTCTCTTCACAGAAAAATGAAAGCAGTTAAATTTCAGACATGTTTTCCAAAAAGAACATTCGCCCATTCACTTTTCTCATAGTAACTGAATGGAATGATAGGAAAATAGTAGCTTCACTACGTGATAAATCTTTGAGGTTCATGGGAAGCAGAGAGAGAATTAATGAACAAGAATCTAAATAACAGGTGGATAAATGTAGCCTTTTTGTATTGCCAACTTTTGCACGTTAAAATGAGTTAGAAAATAGGACAAGCATCTGATACTTCAAAACACCTCAGAGGTTCTCTATATGGTTAAATAATTAGCAAATGATGGCCGACTTGATTCTTTTATCTTTTGAGGCACAAGAAAATTGCTTTAGTTTAAACATGGAAAATTCTACTTGCACATAATTCTTGTACATAGGGGTGTTCACACCCCTCACATGGGATGGAGCCCACCTCGCGCGGGCCCCACCCCTATGTACAAAAATTATGTCCCTCTAGCAAAGCCCTTAAAACATTGCAAAATGAATACTCTAATATTAAGTTCGTAGGAAATTTTGAATAAAAACTAACAGAACTGGATTCAGCAAACTTACGGAGCAATTATTTTCATGTAGGCTTTACTAATGACAAACTTGCTCTAAATATAGCCATATTCTATGTTCAGGCCATGGGCTATTAAGCCTCTCACTTTACAACCACATTCCAAAAAAATGTCTCTCTTTTCTTCCTCTAACCTTTGCTTTACAGATTATCACAGCACTCTTGATAGGACAATCAATAATATTTCACATGCATATTAAATAACTAAACAACTTGTAAAGACAATTACAAAGACATTCATGAGATGATATTCCGAACAATCATGAGGTAACTGAATAGTATGACTCCCCCCATCTCGTTTCAAATTATATAGATGTCCCTTGATGTGTGCCTCGTACAACAGTCTATTTTTAAGGCCTTTTCCAGAAAAGAAAATTGTTTAATACCCAAAGTGCCCTGACAAAAAAGAAAAAAAGAAAAAATAAAATAAAATCAAGTGCTTCTTTCAGCATAGCAAACAACACGTACCTACCACTATGCATATAAAAAAATAAAGCTTGTAGAACGTCCATGTTTATACCCAGCATAATCCCATTATGTTTCTAAATGTCAGTCAAGTGGTTATTCCATAACTGATGCAAATCATTCAGTTAACATGGTAATTAGAACAGACAATAAAATAGCAGTGGCAGCAAGAAATGTATGCCTAACTGGAGAAAACAGATTTCAGGACATCAGAATTCATATCAGATAAGAGAGATACCTGAGATGGATCGAGGGCCAGCATTTTCTCTAATAATTCCAGAGCATTGCGGTCAAAACTGTATAGCAAATAAACAATCAGCACATCAACATCATGCACTAAAAAATTTGCATTACTTTATACCGAGGGATGTTTCAAAAGGTTTTCAACAAAAGTATTAGTGGATTTTGATAAGATGAAATGCGTAATTAAAAAGTTAGTAAAAGTTGTAGGTCCCATGAAATGTATAGTAAAAATGAAGGACTAGTTGAAAAGTTGGATAAAATTTAGCAAAGTTTTATCAAACGAGGACTATAATTCCATAACTTCAGTTCCAGATGCTTA